TTCATTACATTCATTACACCAAATACACAAAATAATGTTCTTTTTAGCAGCATCATATGACCCCTTTAACTAAGAAGAGAGAGAAGAATTGAAATTACAAAAACAATTAAAACCACAGATTTGGATTTAGCATCAACATGGCATACAACCTACGTGCTATTTCAAGTCTCATTTAATATAAATCTCTGATTTACATTTTTCTGGATGTGCCTTTAGATCGCCACTTCTTAAATAACCAACTGTACAAGCATCACAACACTCTCTTTAAAAACACAATCACAGACGCAATGAGAGAGAGAGAGAGATTTAGTGACATAGTGGGTTACGTCACATCTTAAAGAATAGACTATGTCTAACACTGCACACATACACTCACCTTGACCAATGAATGTAGACTCCTCTTCCCAAACATAGCGTGTAGAAAAGAGCGGTCATCTGCGCCTTCAACATGAGGCTGCAGCTGAGACGGCAGTACAGACAACAGCTCATACAGACCTGCAGAGGAAATACAGGAAACACATTACACACCCAGACACACACATAGCCAATACCCAAAGAGAAACTATAGGTAGATATAAACAAGACCCAGAAAATCTGAACTAACACAAGACACCTGATGCATGTCAGATGGGCTATAAAGATTATTCTCCAGTAGCACATTATTATAGTCTTCAAACATCTGTACACTAATAACATAATAATAATAATAATAATAATAATGATGACAACATCATGGTTTACTTCAGCACGCTCACTGGGTCAAACTGAGGGTTGTAAATATGGTCCTCTCCCAGGCTGCACCTCACTTCCTCCCTTTGTCTGGCTACTTCCTGTTTTTCTAGGAATTACAACTGGAACTGTGAATCAAATCCCTAAAGTTTCATTAGTATGCCTGTGATGTTTCAACAAGCATAAACACATCATAATATCTTTGGCATGCTTATATACACACACAAAAAACCCCAGAACGGTAGATATGATGACTATTAAGAGCTGCTGTCAGATTCAGACACCAACACAACCTGAACTTAAAGTTCAAGATGACCTCACTGGGTGTTATTTACTAATAACTGCATGGATTTAGTTATTGTATGAACAGAAGAACACGATAAATTTCAGCCTAATATACAACTAATGTTCTAATGTTAGTGAATGGTGTAAAACATACCTAAACTACCTCTAAATAAGGGGCTTTCTGCACAACCTTTCCTTTACAGCCTTTATTCACTCTCAGCAACAAGACACGTTCTTGCCTGAGGATTCGCACAGCAAGACTTGAACATTCGCATATATTTGCACCTCTCAGCTCGAGCTACTGTACAATAGGGGTACAGTACAATTTGTTTGTATATGCTGTCAATTATAGTTTTCACAAAGAAAATTGGAATCGGCAAAAATCGGTATCGGCAGGTCACACTTACAACAAAACAAAACCACCCCCCCCAGAAATCAGAATCGGCAGAGAAAGTTGCATGTTAAGATTAATTTTTTTTTGTTTTTTTATCTTAACATGATTATAATGCCACCCAGAGTATGTACTTTTTATGGTTTCAGTTGTTACTTTTTTTCCATAATTTTAAAAGAAATTTTAGTTTTTTGTGAACCATTTGTTCGTGAAAACATTCATACATAAATTTCACACACAAATTCCAGCATATGCATGCTTAGTGATTAAGACCCATTGTCTTTTCTAATGTCTTTGTTCACTTCCCTTGCTAAAATACTCATAATTTTAAGTAGTTAAATTATAATCAAGCCACAAAAAAGTACAAAATATAGGGGTTACACTAAAGGTGAATTTAAAATAAATAAGTCACATGATTTTAACCCAAAAAGTAAGAGCTATTCATTTCTGGGCAAAACTGAATACTGAGTACCAAGTATACTTTTAAAGGGAAAATAATGTATCTTTTGAAATGTGCAACATTTTTTAAAATGTATATAATATTACAAACAGAGTATTGAAATCATAAATTTACTTCCAGTATATGCTTTAATAAATAGAAAATCTTACCCTAATTCTTTAAAATAGTCACAAACAGTAGCATTTAACAAAGGTTTCACTACAAAGACATGTAAAATGCTGCACAATGACAACACTTCCATGAATCATAAATCTGGGAATTTTTTTTTAAGCAGTTCTTTGACAGTAACTGTTTAAAATAGATTCACTTAGCAAATTTGATTATGGCCTCAGCTGCAATGTGACATCAAAAAACAGCACTGTCTCTCACTAAACCACTTGTTGCACAAAGCTGCATTGTTTTGGGAACAGCTGAGACGCTGTCACGCTACTCATAAATGTTAAGCAAGTAGTGTCACTACTTTTAGTCAGTCACTTTACAACACTGTTCTTCCAACCGCCGACCATCTGGACACAGGCTCAGTTTAACAGTCAACATCTAACCTTATGTCCCAGCAGCCTACAAAAGGATCCGCGTAAACTGACCATTATTGGCTGCCAGGCCAAATATACCAGACGGGATGTGAAAGAATGCTGTGCCAAGCAGTGTTTCCTTTTCACACGCCTACACTTCCCAGCGGTCTCCAGAAAATAACAGCGTTCCTCAGACATCAATGGCGGAGCTGGAGTACAACATGGCGGAGTGGAAGGTGGAAGGCCTTGCTTCTCAAATTCACAGCATTATGGGACAGCAGCGCAGGGCATGGAGAGCAGCTTAAATTACACAGGCTGTCAGAAAAACAGCGAGGTCATCCAAAATGTCTGGAGTTAACACAACACAAACAGACATGCACAAACCTTTAAGTGCACATGCACACAAACATGGTGGCTTTCTGGAACAACACATATTTTTAGCCACTCACACACAGACCTGTAAAAAGAAACAAGGATAGCACATGCAAACACACAAACGCATGCCACAAAAGAGGCTGTCTGCATGGAAAATATGCTCTGTTGGCTCCCTGTCTGGCTCCTGTTGGCCTCACACTAGACAAGGAAGAGGACAACTGGCAGAAAAAAAGGACCAGATAGATTTACAACACAGGCCACATTTCGAAAACAGTAAAATGGCTTTCTTTGAATGTCTTGTTTGGATGAGTTCAAGAGTCAACAGTGCAAAAAGATTCACACACTCGGCTCAGTGAGCTGTGCAGCAGGAAATGAACACTGGGCCGTGCTTCTCTCCTTCGAGCGCTGAGAGACTGACTCTCTGAAGCAATATATGTGTCACGCAAACACACACTCATGCATAAGACCACCTCAGGGGTCAGTATTTCAGGTGTTACTCGGAGACCATGGTTCATGCCTGTCTGTGAGAAAACCGAGTGAGTGAATGGAAAAATGAAAACAAGAACAGCTGCACTCTGTGTACTTCCATTCATTTTCTCTTTGATTTACCTCCTAAAACAGAAAACTACATTCACAGAGAGAAAGAGAGGCCCTCCAGAGCTGACAAATTATAGAAGAGGAGAGAGAGCGAGAGAGAGAAATATAGCGACAAAAAGAGATAGAACTAGTCGGCTACATAACAGTCAAGTTGTAATGAGTTTTAAGTTGTAATGTTTGATCTGTTCTTGAGGTATCTGTGTGTCTTAACGGCCGATATGCATGAAGCACACAAACACGCATGCTCTCTTGGCAGTCTTTAGAGTCCATTTCAGGGTTTTCATCGCTGTGTTCTCAGCTCCAGCCTCTTAAACCACAGCACCACATCAGAGCTCTTGCTCAGGATCTCACAGATCTACTTGCATGTTCTGGACCATCTACTCCAATCATACACACACAGCCTCACACTAAGTGGTGTCTAGTCCTATACATCAGTACTGCGCACATATACACTGCATCTCCTATCACCCTACTAATTGCTTTTAGCAATAAACCCCATATTTTGTACCCTGTTTTGCATCGTAAATTGCTGAAAATGTGACAAAATATCAAAATTTGTGGCAGCAATTTAAAATCAAATCAACATTGGTGATGGACATTTATATAAAGACCACGTAAAGAGGCTTTCTGAAACTTTATCTACACTACCATTCAAAACTTTTTTTTGTGTGTGGTTTTATGTTTTTGAAAACATCTCTTATGCTCACCAAGACAGCACTTATTTGATAAAAAATACAGTAAAACCAGGAATATTGTAAAATATTACAATCTATCTGATCTGATCTAGCTGCACAGTAGCCAGGGTCAAACCATCCCTCAACATGAGCATATTGGGAGCCCAGAGTATCTGTTATTTTACAGTGATTAGACGGAACAGGAGGGAATGTGATCCTGAAGCAGCCATCTGAACACCTGTAGAAAAGATTTGGTCCAATCACACTGATTCCTTGTGACAGTACACATTTCATGTCTATATCAGAGCTCAATCACAGCAGAAAAATAACAGAGGACTACAACTGAGTCTGAAATTAAAGTTGAGTTTTTGAAACTATAGCTATTACACTGAAGAAGGGACCAGTTCCATATGTGGCCAGAATGTCACGTGACACTGGCCTCTTTTGACTAGGGCTAATAAGTCACCACCCAGAACCCCCACCAACACCCTAGTACTGTGATGAAGACCTCTGCATACCCACAAAAATAAAGTGTAGTTTGCTTGTTTGTAGATTATGGACGTTATGACTTTCTACGTTTTTGTTGCAACGGGGTATAAATATGTTCAGACCCTTTTTACATTCCAGCAACCAAACCAGAATTTCAGATTTGTATTCAGATCTGTATGCATTCTGCTCATTGACATCGACAGATATCTTTATCCTCTGAAAATGGAGATATAAAAATGAAATACAAATAAATGAAATTCCTTGTCCCTCCGATTTTCTCCCTCTCCCTTCTCCTGCATTTGGTAAAATTAAGTGGAAATTTTCATTCTGATGTAATTGGAAACAGGGAGCTATTCCAGTGGCAACAAATCCTTGTGTTACAGTTCTGTATCTCTGTGGCAGTAGAGAGAGAGAAAGAGGAGAGATGGAAAAGAGGAGGATATATGGCTGGAAATCGATAAAGTGCTCCCAAAGCGCATGCTGCTGCCGCTACTAACGTTCCTCTCTCCCTCCCTCTCTTTCGTTCTGTCCTCTGCTCCCAGATGCTCTGCATTCTTGACATCAGAATGGAAAAATTTACTGTTAGCCGAGAAGAAATTTAATATGGCCATTCCTGTCATATCCCTCATTGCAGCTATATTCAGTCAGTGCTCTGCTGAAGCCGTAAGAGAGACTCAGCACCTGAACGATAAACAATATGGAGCTCAATATGGATCTCGTTATGGACAATGGCACCATTACACCATACACTTGTTTCTGAACAGGACTGATGGAAATAAGCGTATCCACAATTCCAGTTTCAAGTAGAATACCTGCACAGATAGTTTCATGCATAAAACCTGTCACACATACATTCATCTTCATTAAAGGATTCTTATCTGCTAAAGAACTTCTGTCCTCAATTTCCCACATGTCCCTTTTTGTCTCTCTCAAGCCTACATAGCACTCTTCTCTTTTTAGTGACGCCTTGGGGAGAGCTATCATAATTGGACAAGCAGGCCAGCCCAGAATAACACAATAAAACTTCATATGGGTCATAAAAACCTAGTAGGGGGCTATGATGCTCCAATCAAAGGGCAGATTCAAAGTGATCAGGCTAACAGACTGTAGTGGGAGTGCAGCTCTGAGGACCAAACCGCTCACTGAATGAGCCTTCCTTTCACTGTGGCTAAACTGAGAGAGAAAACAATGACAACTGACCTGTCTGAACAATCATTCCTGCTTCTGAAAATAATTAATAAATAAAAAATATGATATAAAAATAACACAACACATAATTACAAAAATAACACAAAAATGAATGAACAAAAAAATTTAAATCAGCAAAATTAATTAAACAAATAATATTTAAAATATAATAAATACATTAACAAAACTAATTTTCAATTTAATTAATTAATTTGCATATCTGTTTTAAATATTTAAAATAAATACATATTTTAAATAAAATTATAAAAAAACACAATAAAAAAAAATACAAAAATCTAATAAAAATTACAACAAATTATTTGAAAAATATTTAAAATATATTTGAAAAATGTGTTTATATTTGTTTGTCTTTCGCCTTTGCCACTCTATCCTGGACGGCATTTTCTATAACCCATTGCCCGGACTCATCATGCCTGATTGTTTTCACCTGTTGCTCATTACTTCTGCCTATATAAGCCCAGTGTTTTCAGTACCTCTTTGCGAAGTCTTGCATGTGTCACAGCTTCAGTTCTAAGCCTTTTATCCTGGTTCTCTCTTCTCTCGTCTCGTTTTCCAGGTTCTTTATACTCTCCCTGTTTATCTGGATTACTCTGTTAGCCTCAGCCCTGAACTCTGTCATTGTTTTGGATTGCTTATTGTGTTTGACCCCATGCCTGTTTTGACTACAATTGTGGATTACCCTTTAATAAACTACAGCACTTGGATCCTCAGCCTTCATGTCCCCGTGCAGCTTTGTGACAGAAAATAAATACGAATAATATAAATGCAATACACTTATAATACAAATAAAATTAATTAACGAAAGGAATAAAATTATTAAAAACAAACTAATAAATAGGAACAGAACTGATCTGGGTCCCGTTCTTCATACATCGCTAACTCAGTTAGCTAGATTTGATTGTTGATGATTTGGCATGCTCTTGGATTATTTAGCTCATCCTAGATTTGCTGTCACAGCAACAGGTCCATAAGCTTAAATCTGCTTAGAAGCAGGTTTATTTCATGTAAACAGGATTAGATTGCATCTTTTTAAGTGGAATTGATATTTAAAATCTGCTATTATGGGAGTGGCTTGATGGAGCGCAGGAGATGCAGATAACTTGATCTTGACCCTTAAGAAACTTTAATTTATGCTGTTACATAACAAATCTGCTTCAAAGATAAATTTACATTAACTGCTAATTACAACATTGAAATAAAAATGCAATACCTGTACAAATACTAGAAATCGTGAATATAAATAATTGGGAATAATGTAAAAATAAAATAAAATAAAATAAAAACAGTGCACATTTAATTTATATATTATAACATTTATGTAGTTTTGTTCACTTGGCTGTTTCCTTATAAAGGTCCAGAAAGTTTCGTCAGGAGTCTTTTTTAATTATATGATGTCATTACGTTGCTGTCTTGCCGCCAGCCAATCGCTGCACTGCTGATCGTGGTTTCACAAGAACACGAGAATGCTCAGTAATCTTAGACAACTTAATCCAGATATTTTAATCAGATCCACAAATTCGTTTGAAGAACCAAATTAGCCAGTGATTGATTAGTTATCACGATTAGAAGATCTGGCATCTTTCAAATCATCTCAGATGTATTAAGTGAGGTACGAAGAACGGGCCCCTGGACTGGAATTAGAAGAAAACAAAAATATCATGACTGTAAGGGATACTGATACTTTATTTATTTCTTTTTTTAGGGGGGAGTATGAGAGAATAACTGCAGACTGTGAGCACTGTGAAGTGAACAGGATGACTGAGTATGCAGTAGTTGATGCAAGAGTAATTTATCATATGACATCAACACCAGACTCTCTTTCTCTCACATACACATTTTACAGGTAGTGGGTGGATGGGTCTGTCAGCCCAAGGACACCCATGGGTAGTGAAATCAAATGCCACCAGGAAGCAAAACACCCACACGAAAAACAGGATATATATGATGGGGTAAAAGAACAGCATTTTATGTCCATACAGAGGAATGAGAATAGAACAGAACAGGCACTGTGTGATGGCGAGTTTCAATGAGAAAGAAACAGAACAGGGAAAAAAAATAAAAATCCAGAGCCAGAAACAAGCTAATAATTTCAGTGCAATCATCCTTGATCAATTTTATAATGGGTTTCGGAGATTAAATCTCAATTTCCTGCCTTATCAATGAAACGTTTAAAGTGTGCAAGTGTGAGTGTGAGTGTGAGCGTGAGCGTGTGTGTGTGTGTGTGTGAGCGTGTGTGTGTGTGTGTGTGTGAGCGTGTGTGTGTGTGTG